CCTTAAAAATATATTAATTCCAGTACTGTAACTTGTGTGTCAAAAATGTTAACAAATAACTGAAAAACGTCTTTGACAAAATTTTTTATCATACTTTATTAACATTTAAAAGCACAACAGCTTCAACAGTTCTTATTAACAAATCTATACATTCAGTTCAAAACTCACTTTTTATAACTGATATTCAGTGATCGTAAATTTAGATCAAAAGAAATTAGTTTACAAGTAACAATAAGACAGGCTCCAATAAAAATAATTTTTGGAGTAACATTATTATTATATATAATATGTATTAATTAAATAATGCATACATTCATCAAATAATAATATCAATTTAATAAATTTAACTGTGAATGACAGCAAAAAGATTATTCAAAGAGTGGCTTGTGAATCACGAGACCATCAAGACACTTTTCTGTCTTGTCAGAGTTTAATACTAATTTATTGTCTAATACTGATCATCAGGGCCATGCCACTAGGCGAGTTGGAGAGGCAACTGCCTCAGTTACCAAATTGGAAAGGAAAGGATACTAAAAAGTCAAAATGTTTATAGAAATATAAATATATTGGTACTCTTCTTAGGGTTGCCTTATATGCCAAAATTATTTGGAACAGTCCTGCTGATCATTACATTTGAGACAAGTGATCAGCAAGACTGTTCCAAATAATTTTGGTATCTAAGGCAAGCATAAGAACAGAAAAAGCATAGCTCTTTTCATAACATAGAGATATTAACATGTGTAAAATATCTTTGTTTCATATTAATAATAAATAACTGTATACATTATTTTTGCTTCTTTTTTATTGTGCAGCTTTTGAAACTTTAATTTGATCCATAAACAAATTTGGCAAACAAATTTTTCTTCTAAATGATTCAAAACCATTTAGAAGAAAAAATATTTCTCTTTAGTTAACCATTATAACCAATAGCAAATCTCTGTGTGTGTGTGTGTGTGTATTGCAAAACAATTTAAAATATTTTAAAATCTTTCTATATACTATGTTTATTTTACATAAGAAACTTTTTATAACAAAATAACAAACAACAATCATTAACTAGGTCTTAAGAACAGGACTAACCAGTCTGGCTATGGTAAAATCACTTTTATCCTTCTTTCTATGGCCTCGATTAAGAATTAAAGTTCTATTTTCAGAATCTTCTAATTAAATTACAATAGCTATCTATTATAGAAACTTCTGAAACTTAAATTTATGATCTGAAAATATTTTAATTATATAATGATTCCTAATAAGTTTGTTGTTGCTTATTATGTTATAAAATGATTATCATAAAAAGATATATTTTAGAATTATTAAATAATATATTAATTATATATGCAAAAAGTGTTTTTCTAACACTTACCATCTTTGAAATGCCATCCTAAATATAGCATTTAAAGATGAGTGCCAACAATGTTAAACCAAACTATTTTTATAAAATATATTAAAATTTAAAAATTTACTGGATTTAGTTTCTTAAACTTCAGAATAGTTATATTAGTTAGTTTTTAAATTATCCATTTTTTACAATTTTATTAGAACCTGTCTTATAAATACATATTTTGGCCACATATATTATTATACAAATTATATATTAGCTTGATACAGTGATATTTCATATGTGAACACAAAACTATGATAACTGTAATGAATATTTATTTATATTCTGACTACTTATGTGAAAGAGAACAGTTTGTCAAGTTTATAACTATATAAGATTTTACATGGAAGACCAGAAAATATGATTGAAGTCTGATAAATTAACATATAACTATTGCTATTTAATGACTAATCACTAGTTGAGATACTGTCTATTAAATCAAAAGTTATATGTATATTATAGGACCATACTAGTTGATCATTTCATAGTCTTTGATATGGATCCAAAGTTGGAATCAAAACAAAAGATAGAAAATGTTTCCAATGTGAACAAAACAGCAAATTTATTACTGTCCTCTCACAGATTTACCTTCGCAAAAGTATTGTATATAAATACAAAATTTTCTGTTATTTAATCAAAATAATTTCATATTTTGATTAAATAATTAACAAATTGGAAATGGGAAACAATTTATAAGTTTCTGTTTCAACTTCTCTTAATTCTTCCACAATAAATGGCAAATAATTTTCTCATCACAACCTGTATCCACTGCTGGCTTGAATTACTATGATTGTCCAAATAGTAATTAAATAGGATTAATCTTGATTTGATAGCTTAGGCACTCGTGACTGGTTCAGCTGTTTTTCCCCTTCCCCATTTTCTTTACACAAATATAGGCATTATGTACATTACAAATTGTGTAACAAAAATTTCGGAGGAAAATAATACACACTTTCATTCAACCTGAGTTTTTAAAAACATTATTAGTTTTAATCTGTTGGCATCTATTTGCAAAAAGTTAGATTTCTTGTTTATATATACAATATGTTAATAACTTAAATATCAATAGACATTTCTAATTGTAACAAATAAAATTGTGCAAATTTTTTTGAAATGAAAATAGAAAATAATGACATATATTGAAGTGCTGCAAATTCACATTTTTTGTCATACATATTTTAACTGACAATTTCACTAATATTTCAAGCCAATCTATATTGCAGAACTAATTTATATTTATTTTGAGGATTTGACAAAATAGTACATTATATAATTACATTTACTGAAGAAAATCCTAAATAATAAAAATTCTTACAATTATAATACTTAATTATTGAACAATTCAATATTATAACATTTAACTGTAAATTTTTACGTTCTTATCACACAAATATTATTTCAATTATAAAAATATCACAACCTAAATAACAAAGGATAAAACTGTTGTTTTGCTTTTGATAAAAAATAAGTAGTGCTTTGCAGAAACCCAGTATATTATACGTATACTAAAAATATATATATCTTACTTGTTTGTGAGATATTTAAATATTAANTCGAGTTAATTCTCTGCAAGAAATTTCAATATAATTCAAGCATTTCTTCGTTTTATTCGAAACAAATGAGAGAAAAATTGAAGCAATGATCTCAAGTACTGTTGCGATTTAATTTAGAAAACTTAATTAAAAGTTTATTAAGTAATTCATGTAAAAATGGCTAGCATATCCTATTCAAATATTAAAAAAAAATACTTTTGCTTGTTATAAATTAATAAAGTGCAACTTAAAAAAAATAAATTTGTCAATGTTATTTGGCAATACTAAGCATATGTTCTATTTTGTTCTTTCATATTGCATCCCAATAACCATATAGATTACATTATCAATAGTCTAGCTGCTTTCTATCAAAAGAATTTATAAATTTTAAATTTTGTTAAAAATAAAAAAAAACAGACAGACTATTTAAAATGTAGCTCTAGCTGTAGTTATTAGGATATAATACATACAAAATGCAAACATTTGCTTAGTAATAGCATATTAATTATATAAATAATTTATTTGGAATGTTCATCCTTAAATTATCAAAAAATAAATAAAAATAATATTTTACAGGGCAGCATTTATACTAATGAAAAAAATAATAATAATAAACATCTCTATAAATGCAATTTTTTTGTGAGCACTCTGTATAATGTAACAGCACCAAGTATCATTATGTTATTTTATGCTGGCACAAAAAATAAGCACCAATTTTACCATTATGTACATTATATGGCAAATAAAATGTACCAAAATTTTATCACAAACTGTATTGTAATTATTTCTGAATATAGCAAATAATTAGATACTTAATGAAAAATGCTGCAAAACACAGGGTTATCATCATCACATATGATTTCATTTTGCTAAAAAAATTTAAAACCTGCATTATACAATAATTAGTCTATTTTCTCCACTATCTATTATTCAGAACTGTTGATAAAAAGTTACTTTTCACAATATCTGTACAATCTTGGATGGATACATCACAGTAACAGGTTCATTGATGATCTGACATTTTTTTACAATGTATCTCAACAGTTTTTTTTAATGAGTGTTTTGGTATCTAAAATGCATTAACAAAATTCCCAAAAATATACAGTCATAAGTACCAAGAATTTTTTCTATACCCAATTCACATCAGAAATTGTCACAGTTATAGAGCATATTTAAAGTTAGTTTCATATACTTTTTAGTTTAGGCAACTCAACAGTAAATATTTTTATCTTATTAAACCATTAGGATATAAAATTTTCTATTATGATGATCTGATATGAATTTTGATTCAAAAATCCTTTGTGATGTGCTTTGCTTTTTATTCTCCTTGCAAATGATAATTTATGATTGGCTCTTTATAATCAGGACTCACTCAATTTTAAACTATTACCTACAAATTATTGAAAATATTACAGAAAATCAGTATAATCTGTGATATATATGGTAAATTTACGAATAAGATTTATTTTTCTAAATATTACTAAAATTTTAGAGAGTATGCTAAATCTTCAAATGTCACAACATTCTGGAATTGTATTAAATTCAAATGACTGTTCTTCATGCTTAATTTTCAATTAACATTGAGAATAGGGAATAACTCAGAGAACACTTTTCATTGAAAACTGATTCTAAGAAAAACAATTTTTTAAAACTAAAATTTCCTAATAATAAATAACATATAAACTGAAAATATATTTAATTAAGTAAATACCATTTTTTTTCTTATTAAATTTAATATTTGTTATAAAATTTACTTAATGCAAATAAATATCTTTTCTTTGTGTGAATATATTTATAATTTTATGCTATATTGCAATATTTTATTCAAATATATATACTGTAAAGCTAAAAATTTTCATAAGAATGCTTCTATAATCATCTTAATTTGAACATATTGAAGAAGAATTTTAATTTTGTTTAGTAATGCTGTCAACTTTGATTAAAATGTAACTTGAGAAGTTTATTTTTTAAAAATCTTAGATAATATAATCTATAGCTTTTATAATATATAATTTCTTAGCTTCAAAAATGATGAAGTTTTACATTGTTATTTTATTTTCACTCATTTGGCAATATGAAATTTCCTGATTTGATATTGATCATTAACTCAGATGTTGGGATAAGTTAATAGGATATTGCACAGATTTCTCAAATATCAAGGAATAGACTTTTATTATTCATTAAACTGTTTTTTTTTTTTATTTGAGTTTTTAACTATTTTATGTAGTTTATTTAATTCCAAAGAAAATAAAATAAAAAATTTGTATGCATACAATACAGAAAAATTATTGAAAATTACTGTTACCTCCAAAAATATTATCTACTACACTTTTATAAGAAATCTTTGGCATTTGCATCAACATTACATATAAGTTATATGTATGAAAAAAAATAATGATTTTAGAGACAAAGATACTGAATTTTCAAAATAATTGAATAAAAAACAATAACAGTTTTTATTACAAAGAATTATTTGTGATAGAATGCTATGACAGTATAAGTAAATAATATTGTACTATCCAATCATGGTACCATGGTCTCATGATTGGATTAATATTATATTTTTGGTATATTGCAAAATAACTGTACAAGATTCTGATGTGATTTTTAAAATTCCCTTGTAATCCATTATTATATTACATACATATCTGGGGTATATGTGTTATTTTACAGTATTAAATTACCAGAATTTTGCATCTGTAGCTTGTGCATAAGATCTCTAGGAAATAAATATGTCGTTGTTTCACAAGTTATTCATATTCTGAATAATAAATCTTTCAAAACAATTGTCTTTAAACATTTAACCCATATTTACCATAATTTGTAAATGTTCAATAAAAAGTAAAAACAGTATTATTTTTACACAATTAAAATAAATTCAAATTTCTGTTCATGATATCCTGCCCTTCTTTAATTATATTTAAAATTTGTCATATCACAGCATTGTGCTTTCTGAACTTGGCTTTCCTGACCAAACAAATGCAGAATTTTCAAATCCATTTAGTGCATGGCATTCGCTTGATTGAGAAGCAGATTCTAAAATGTTTACTGCTGATTGATGGGTTGTTATACCCAAAGCTGCTCCATCATGAGCATTTTGAGGTTGTAGGCAACATTGACAGCATTTACAGACCCCAAATATCCGAATGATCAGCCTGTCTAGAGGATCCAGAGAGTGCATGAATTCTGGTAGCCAATTCCAGTCTTTTAAAAATTCGGGCAATAGACTAGGCTTTTTACATTGCAATACGTTGATAATGATGATGATAGTGAGCAATACTAAAACTATGCCAATAATTATCATGAAGATTGTAGTGCCTGCTAAGCTTAAAGCAAATATAGATGCTGGCAAAACAAAGAACATCATAATAAGGTAAAAAACTGAAAACCATCGATATTTTGCAGTAATATTTCCCAATAACTTAGCCAAAGGGATTGGTACTCTCATGTAGGGAATTGGATAAAACAATAAAATGCCACTGAGATTGAAAAACAAATGACAGAAGGCAATTTGTAGTGTTTCTTTTTTCCCAGCTGTCAAAGCTGCTAATAAACTTGTAGTGGTTGTTCCAACATTAGAACCTAATGTCAGTGGATATATTCTTTCCAAAGATATGATACCAACACCTGCCAAAGGTGTTAGAGCAGAGGTAAAGATTGAACTACTTTGAACTAAAATTGTCATTCCACATCCTACTAATATGGCCAAGTAACCAACGAGGATGGAAAATGGAAATCGTGGTTCAGAATTTATAACTTTTTTGATGATAACAGAAATTTGTCCACGCAGCATGGAATGGAGTAGTTTTACCATCAACACAAGACATGAGCATAACATAACAAGAGAAATTATTAACATTACTGCTCCAATAATGGAATCATCCCAATCCAATCCTCTCAAAAGAAATTTACCTGAAAATAATATATGATATAGTTATCATGATTCAGAAACAGTTTTCATTTTACCATAATTTTTGGTATGATAAAGAATGTTTTAAATACAATATATGCTTTAATCAATAAAATTTCTGTAGAATTCAACTAAAAATTTATAGTTTATTTGAATCCTAAGCAATTATAATTTATAAAATATGTATTGTTTCTGAGGATAGAATAAAATTAAGCATCAAAAGTTTTTCAGTATTTTATATAAAATTTTGTTCTTTTAATAGAATTGTGGCTACACGCCATATTTTAAACTATATCTATATATCTTCACTTCACCTTCATCTGTCCTATTTGTTTACTCTTCTATAATCTTATCGTCTTCCCATTGACTTTAGTGTGTGGGTGGACTGAGAGAAAAGGAATGAATGGAAAGCTTTTGAGAGGGGATATGAGTGGACTGAGGAGAGAGGAGGAAGGAGGGGGAGTTAAGAAGGGGGAGAACGAAGGGAGTGAGTGGAGAGGAAAAACGAGGGCAGATTGGAAGTGAGGGGAGAAGGGAAAGGACGGGAGACGGAGAGGAAGGAAGTGGATAGGGGAGGTCGTAAGGAAAGCCTCCCCTGTAAGTTGGACATTGTATGGTGAGATGAGAAGTAGAGAACTTTAGAACAAGAGGAAGAAAAAGGAACTTAAATGAGAGGAACCAGACGGATCACCCCTTTTGGATTGATATCTCAGCGTGAAACAAGAATTGAGTGAATCAGCCCCACCAGACCGACGAGAAGCTTCATCCACGAGCCCATACAATTCAACCTGCATCATCAAGTTTTGGGTACCCTCTTTCCTTATTCTTTTCTTTCCCCTTCTAAATCTTCGAATAAGCCGGCTATAGTTAATTAGTTTGAGTAGAAATAAGAACCTAGTATTAAGTAAGATAATTTTTGTTAATCGGATGTTCGGTTCTGAAAAAGGGACAACTAGAATTGTTGGTATCTATGAAATCCTGTATTTGAACTAGCGAGTTAATAAATAATTGTGTTGTATGTTATCTAATCTGTATTGTGTGCCTTTATATAACTCGCAGAAATCACAGAATAAATCAAAAACAAATATTTTTAAGATTAAACATTTCAGTTTTTTAGAATACCATTATCAATCTGGAAAACATGCATTCCTAAATTTTGAAGTAAGGATGTAAGTAAGCAATCAGGCTATTTGTTGTCTGAATGTCTATGTTACTAATATTGTTTTTAAAAAATTTTGAGAGATTTAAAAATGAATACAAATAAAAATGTGTCATTATTAACCATTATATTTTACAAAAAAATATTTCTATTTAAAGACTATTGAAGATTATTAATCTATGTAAGAAGTATTGATCTATACTCCACATTGATGCTAGTACTAAATGTCAAGTTCATAGGTTAAATTTATACACAGAAAATAAAATACTTTACAATAAACAACATGATAACTATCGCATAAAGTATAAGTATAAATTTATGTGATATTCTGTGATGTTTTTGTATAAATCATTTTATCTTCCACATAAATTCTGAGCTATATAAATTTAGTATCTGGTTGTTACTCTGATATAGAAAGAATTAAGAGTCCAAATTTCAAATATAATTTTCTCATATAAGTTAATTAATACCTTCGATACTCATTAAATACAGAAATCTGTAAAAGACTGTATTAAATGCAAACATCCATAGTTTATTAGATATTAAATAAATTTCATTTTTGGCATGACAAAAATAATTAGTAAGAATATTTTTAATGTTTACTCATATCTGTTTTTTCATTTTACTTACTTTATTTTCATGCACATACCCCATAAATTATGGCACATATCCTGCAGAAATTGCTAGAATGAAAATAAAACCTTCACATAACCCATCACCATATATCCCTTCCCTTTGGAGCAATGGTTGTTTCATAGTGAAAATTTATAATTTCAATTTAAAATTAGTGTATAACTCACACACAGTTAATCCAGGGGCTAAATGGATTTTTTTTTTTTTTTTTTTTGAAAGATACAATCTAGCTGCTTCAAAATTCACATGTAAAATATATAAAAAGAAACCAATAAGAAAAGGGAATCAGATAGTTTTTGATTTCATTACTGAATACAGAAATGTAGTAACTTAAATGTGTATTAAAAAGTTAAATAAAATTTACAAGTATTGTTAATTAAATAAGTATTTTAAGAGATTACATTAAAAGACAAATTTAAACTATCCTCATAATTTTAAAATTGAAATGCACACAGAGAAATTAATTTTCAGTATTAAAATTATGATTTCTTTAAAATTTCTCTAATAATTACCAAAAACTATGGTATCATATAATAATATGATATAATAATTATTATTANTGCTATCTAGCTTCATACATTTAGATTGTTATGAGTGGAAAAATATATAATAAAAATAAATAAATTAGAATAACAAACTTAACATATTCTTAGGTTATGAAAAATACTATTCTAAAATTAATAAAATTTAATTCTAATTTATGTAATGCATTGAAATTAATTTTTTGAAAGTTAAATCAATATTAAATTCAATACTTTGAATAAAAATTATGTACCTGTTATAATTTCAATTGGCAATAATACTATAACAGTCAACCAGTTAAACATATCGTGGACTGTTGCAGCTGCAAAAGCTCTTCGAAATTCATTGCGATCACTCACTTGACTTAGAGAAACAATTTTCTACTACTTTTTTATCAATCTGAAAATTTATATTTTATATATTTTCTTACATATTTTAATTGTTTTGATTGAATGTAAATTTGTAATTCAAAAATCTTCTAACCTGTATAATCAAGTTTGTAAATGGTTTAGTCAATTTATTTAAAAATTCAATTTTAACACCTTCTTTGCTTTGTGACCATTCTGTAGAATCTATTATTTCTTGTGTCAATTTTTTCAGATAACCTGTTTAATTTGAAAACCAATCTTAAATTTATTTGCTGGGAATTATTGTTAAAATCATAAAATAGATATAAAATACCTAGTAATAGGTTTAAAATAAATAAACAAACTATATTTTTGAATAATTTTGTAAATAATTATACAACTTGTTTATTATTTTATATCAAGTGAGGTACTCCAGAGCAGTGGTACTCAATCTTTTTGAACTAGTGGCATATTCACAATTCTCAGTAGCATACCAATGAATCAGTGTCACATCAAAGATGCTTTTGTATATATAACAAAAAAAATGATGTTAAAGATCTAAATTTTTTTATATACACTCATGTCCAAAATTAAAGTAACATGCACAAATGTATATGGTAAAAACAGAAATTAATGATTCTAAACTACAATGAATCATCCAAATAACTTCTCTGATACATGCCTGATTAACTACTGATGTATCAGGAACACTTCCTCACCATTACTAATCTTACCAAATGACTCTGTCAAAAACAATTTCTCTGTATGTATAATGCATTACTTTTGTTACATGGGTATACTACTATTGTGCCTCATTTATATGATAGGATGACACTTTGCTGATTTACATAAGACATAACTTTCAGCTACTTACATCTCATGTTGTTGACTTTACATATATTTCATGTTTATTTGCATTAACTTTGGACAAAAGTATATATAAAAATATAGAAATAATATTAAAAAGCTGAGAAACTATCATTTTTCAATTATTATTATTTTTTTAAACTTTGTGTCATTCCTACATTTTCACGGTACACTAGTGTGTCTTGACACATCAATTAAGAACCACTATTCTAGAGCAATTGGGATTAATAATTAAGACTATATGCTGAAGTAAAAACTAAAATGTATTTAAAATCATTAATAAAAAAATTATCAGAAGTTTTTGTTATGTATCAATATGCAATATAATTGATTAAATAACAAAAAATAACATCATTGTAATAAATAATTATTAATTTTGCATTAATATTTTGAAGCTTTACACTGCTTCATCTTCAGATATCACAACATTCAGTTATGTTAATTATTGTCAAGTAGTTAAAATGACATAGAAGTTGATTTAAGTAAGGAAGAAGCAGACTAGCTGTGACTAAAATATTTTTAAAGATTTTTAACAAAGTTTTTAAAGATTATGAGGAAATAGCATATCTTTGATAATTTTGAATAAAGAATTTATACAAAACTAGAAAAATTCAAAAACACATTGAGTACCCAACATTTTAAGTGAACCTGATAACTAATTATTTTATTTACAAAGTTTTGAATTAAATTTCTAAAAGATGTAAATTTGAATCTTTCTCCCAGCAGTTGCATTATTATATTTTTCAAATTGATAATATTATCAATGACATTTAAAATATTATTTGTTTGATTAAAAAAATAATATTAAAATAGAATAAGTGTTATAGTCTTGCTTCTTTGTCAATAAACCAGTATTTGTTTATGCTTATCAAGACATTTTAAGGCAGCTCTAACATTTAACATGTATAAAATGTTACTAAACTTTAAATATGAATGAACACATTTTTATATTTAAAGTCAATCATATATAACAATATTTTATAAAACCTTGAAAAATAATTTATTTAATTAGAGATTTTAAATATAATAAACAAACATTCATTCTTTTTTTCAGTCAGTGTTTAAAATTCTGATAAGATTTAGATATTTAAAAATAATTTTAAAAATTAAGTTAAATGTTCATTTTATTTAAAAGATATTTAATATTTCCTTGTAATTTTTATGACTTGCTGAAAGATATTTTTAAGAATTTACAAGATTGCTTGTAAACAGAGTTGTTAGGAATCTGATCTAGAAGCCATGCTATCTAGCTTCATACATTTAGATTGTTATGAGTGGAAAAATATATAATAAAAATAAATAAATTAGAATAACAAACTTAACATATTCTTAGGTTATGAAAAATACTATTCTAAAATTAATAAAATTTAATTCTAATTTATGTAATGCATTGAAATTAATTTTTTGAAAGTTAAATCAATATTAAATTCAATACTTTGAATAAAAATTATGTACCTGTTATAATTTCAATTGGCAATAATACTATAACAGTCAACCAGTTAAACATATCGTGGACTGTTGCAGCTGCAAAAGCTCTTCGAAATTCATTGCGATCACTCACTTGACTTAGAGAAACAATTGTGTTTGTTACGGACGTTCCAATGTTGGCACCCATTATAATGGGAATAGCATTACTGACGGATATAACTATTAAATAAAACTTTTATTTATAAATATAATTAATATTAATAAAGTCTATTTAAAATAAATCCTGTTTTTTTATTATATTATATTCAAATTTTTAACAATTTTTGTTTTAAATGTTGAAAAAATTCTATTAAAAAAATAATGTTTTGAATGAGTTATTTCATGTAAATTTTATAATGTAAATTTATGTTATAAATATTGTTTACATATTACATTAACAAATTACAGTGCCTATCTATGATTTTTGGTTTACAGTTTATATTCTCAAATTATTTGTTTTATAGCAAATATATAATATAGTTAACAGGTAATTAATTACTATGATTGCAGTCCTTCTTAAAAAAACAATAGAAACCAATAGAATTTTCTATTGTTATTTTAGGGGAACTAAATCATTTAAACCAGTAGATACCAATAAAATTCCCAAAATCAAGAAATTAATATTGCTCAGTCATAATTTTAATTAAGATATAAGAAATTATGAAATGAAAAGTTTTTACATTGCCACTTGTATGTGCTATCACAACTGGGTGCTATTAATTTTCTACATGACAAAACACGTGTATATTTTATGTTTTGGGAAAAATACCTTTAAACTTTTAAATATCCAATTATAGTGATCTTGCTAATCTAACAAATTATTGTATGTTATTGTTCAGATTGGTGGAATTAATTTATATGTAAAAAAGAAAAAGTCAGAAAGAGCTACAAATAAATATATATATAGGATGACGTGTATTGTTTCTAACAATTTCAATCTACAATTTCACTTCATACATTACATGTTAAAAATAACTTAAAAAAAAAAAAACAATCTGTTATTTCAATCAAGTATTCATTATCAAAAATAATAATAAATTACTGTAGATGGATAATTCTGGATTGTAACTCAGACTCAATAGATACACCACACTGATTTTATGAGAAAGTTTAGACCCAATAGATCATTTGGGACCAATAGGGTCTCTTAGGTCAAAATTTTCATATAAAACCATCAGTAAATTTTTTAACAGAGAAGTATGGAATATTGTTTCTATATTTTTTAAAATTATATTTGATAAACAATGAACAACTTTCCATTTAAACTGATTTAAACTATTGTAAATCCAAAAAAATAGCAATATAGTCACATCTCCAAACTCTCTCCAAACTGATGAACAAAAAACTGAATTAGTACTAAATATTCTAAAAAATTGTTTCTGTTAAGGCAAATAAAAACTATATAATAAACAGCTTGATCTCAAGTGGCAATGGCATTAATGAATGAAGCAGTTTGAGCTCAATGGGAAGTGGAATAAGTTACTTAAACTAACAAAAAAGTAATGTCATCATTCAGTAACTTCTCTTAAATACAATACTGATAACAGTCACTAAATTATTTTACATTGTACAAAAAGTCTAACTACAAATCAAACTGGTCATTCAACTTCTTATAAAGCTTTAGAAAACATTTTCAATCTCTTGAAATATTTGATTTTTTAATCAGAATACTGATTCCTTAGTAAATATAAAATTTGATATATTTTACTGATAACATTATGAAATTTTTTTTCCCCTACTTCATATTATGAGTGCATTGACACAAAATATAGTTATGTATGGAAAGAGAAATATTGTCTTTAACTGATATAACATGTAGGTATTTTAAAGTAAAAGAACAATAAAAAGATAAAAACAAGTATTTAAAAATTACGACATTACATTAAATTAGCACTTTAATTACCAATAAATAATAGATACATATTAACAAATGTACATGTTTTTTTTTCACTTCAATGTAATAACCAGTTTAGAATTAAACAGTTTTTTTAAATGTTAAGCATATACAAGATCTTACATCCTTAATGATTGATAAAGAAAACTAGTTTCAAATGCAGTCTTTAATTGAAATTTTAGAATAGTTTTACAGTAATGCCAACAGACAGTTTTTATATTTTCATTTATTTTTAGTAAGTGGTGTTGCTTGTTATTTTTATCTCATTGGACTGCAATTTGAAAAATTTGTAGACCTATAAATTCCCACAGTTATCCATCTGTCTTTCCTTAATCTCAAGAATGGAGTTAGATAAGTGAAAGATAAGACCAGATATGGAAAGCATAGGGGCAGGAGGCCCCAATTAACTATATAAGAACTTCTGGTGCAAACCAGAAGTCAATGTTATTTCAATTCAAAAATTTCCCCTAAAAAATGTTAGAGAGGTGACTGGCATGACTCTGTTGTTAAAGGAAAGTATGATGTACAGGGTCAAGCCACTACTAATTTGAGGTAAGAGTATATATTTTAAGTTAAATACATTAAAAATACAATTAAAAATTGCAGCCCAGCATTATGACGATGTCACAATAAATAATTGCTTGTTAATATTCATACATTGTCCATTCACATTCATAAATCGTATTGTAGAGATTGCTTTCAAGATTGCAGGAGTTTATAGAAAATTACTAAAAGAGTAATGAATATAAATTAGCATCAATATTGAAATCATCAGTTTAATTGTTAAAGATATAGTATCATGTTTTTATTTGATGTTTTTGAAGGAGTTCTGTGAACTGACTTACTGTATATCATAAAATCAAGATAAGGAAATTGTCAGCAAATTAAAATTAATTTTTTATAGCAATCAATATGAATTTTATAATCAAAGGAATATGACATAAGTTAAATAATAGCAAATATTAAACTAGAAGAATATCATAACAAATAAACAAAACGTTATTAAATAAAAAACAACTTTCTTAAAAAAATAAAATAAAATAAAACAGTAAGTAGTTTGTTCCAATAAAGTAATTGTATTTATTACTGATTTTCTGAATAAATAACATATTAAACTATATCACAATTCATTTTCTTCAATGAAGAAACAAAAACTGATTAAAATGAGAGTAATGATTGAAAATTAGTATTCTGATAACACTATAATTTAATCTAATGTGATATAGTAATAAAATTGTTCTGTTTATGACTGATAAGTTAATGCTTGAATTTCCAAAATTTTTGGAATTTATATTTAACTTGGAGAGCAATTTTTGAGCATCTGTTTCAAAATTTCTGTATTTTTTTTTTAACCAATTTCATAACCTTTCATTTATCCATGATTTAGGTTTGGATTATTTTATTTTAGTCTACTTTTTTAAAAATTTAAATGTGTAAATATCATTACTTGAAATATTGTTCTATTTCTATGTAATCTATTTTTATATAAATAATAATATATATGTTAAATATTTATTATTTGAAAGTAAAGTATTATATCTTTTACTGTTTGCTATATTACAATAATTTATATTATAATTATAATATTAATTTTGATTATTAATTATATTAAATTAAAATAGTTGTAAGTTATGATAATTATTTGAGAAATTATCTCTTAATAGTAAAATATACTTTTTTTTTTTTTTTTTCAAAATTATACAAATTTATATGCACAAAGTTGATTTTGTTAACAAATTTAAATGAAAGATTTATTTTATTTATATCATAATCAAATCACATTCTAACTTTATATCTCACAACTGGAAGGCTTTCTATCTTATCAATATTTAGTTACAAAAATTTTGAATTTTATCAATATAGATAGTGTAATGTCCTGTTTTTATTTTTATCTTTTGTCAACTCAATATAGGAAATTTTTTAAACTTTGACTTTTAGATGGAACAACATTGATGAAAGCTATAACTGACTTCTGAAAGCCATATATAAAAATCTGGAAAGATTATTAAAGGTTATTGTCCTGTAGATATATATAGGTTGTCTTTGTATAAAATTAAAACTCCAGAATAAACAGTTAAACAATGAGAAAATTAATAGTAAATAAAGATTAGATAAATATCTTACAATAAAGATAATTTGAATATAGTCTATTATATATATAAGATTTTTTTTGCATTTCTTTTATCTTATATATATATACTGAGTGGCCAATTTATTATGACCCCCTACAAAGTTTACACAAATCAGCTAAGATGTCACACTGATGCCACTGTAGGACAAGATTGTTATAAAGAGAAATTGCTGAATGATCGTACAGACAGTTGAAGAGTATTGCATGTGAAGGTATGGGTAAAAGACGTTATTTAACAAACTTTGAACTTGGAATGATTGTAGATGCCAGAAGCAGTGGAGCGAGTATCAGCAAAACTGCTTTGTTTGTGAAGTGTTCAAGAACAGCTTTGTACATATGTACTGTACAGTACAAAGAGTGGACTATCAAACAAAAAAGCAGGTCTCAACATAAGGCATGTGGTCATCCTTGGTTGCTAGATGCTTTAGCTGAAAAACGAATTGCCAGACTTGTCCAGTTCAACAAAAGAGCAACAGTATGTCAGATTACAGCTGATCTTAGTCAGAGAACATCTCTGATGGCCTCTGAACAAACTGTTTGCCATGCATTACATTGTCTTGAGTTTGGAAGCCAACAGCCTGTTAAAAAGCCTTTGTTGTCTGCAGCTAACAAGATCAAACAATTCCAATTTGCACATGATCACAAAGATTGGGCAGTAAAATTCTGGAAAAGTTTAATGTGGTCTGATGAACCATGTTTTTAATTGCACTGTGCAGATGGCAGAGCACAAATGTGGAGAAAACAGCATGAAAGCATGGTCCCTATATGCATTTCCATATCACTTCAATCTTATGAAGGCAATGTTATAATTTGGAAGATGTTTTCCTGGCATTGTTTAAGCCCTTTGCTTCATGTGGAACAATGTCTGAATGCCCAAAGGTATTTAAATATTGTTGCTGACCAAGTATGCCCAGTTATGTTAATAGCCCACCCCACTGGAGATGGATACTTCTGGTAGGACAATGTTCCATGCCATAAAACTCAAATTGTCAAAAGATGGCTTAAAGAGCATGATGGAGACTTCATATTGCTTAGTTGGCCTCCACAATCACCAGATCTCAATCCAATTAAGCATTTATGGGATGAGGTCAAAAGGGATAGTATCAGGCAACTGGATCCAGAACCATTCATTCTTAGGATTCAGAACCATCCATTCAGTAAGAATGGATCCATCTGCCTGATAGATGGATGGAAAATGCATTTTATTGAATATGGTATCAGATTCTTCCAGCCACTTAACGACATCTCATATAATCCATGCCAAATAGAATTGCAGCAGTATTGTGAGTGAAAGGTGGCTCAACAATGTACTGAGTACATGGTCATAATAAATTGGCCACTCAGTATATATATAAGATTAAAAAAATGCAAAATAAAAAAAAAATTTCAAGGATTTTCAAAGTAATAATTCAGTAATAATGAATTTGATGGTTTTATTCTTCAAACTTCATACAGTTTAAAAGAAATTGATACCTTAAATAAATTATCCATGACTACTCTAGTCTGGATACATAAATAATTCAATAAACAGTAAATCATAAAATAGAGGAATTTTACTTTGAGTGTTGTATTGATCAATATTTAAAATCTATAATTTAATTTTTGATTATTTAATTAAAAATATAAATTTTAAACTGTAATTTTTCAACATTACATTCCATTATTGTTTTGTGTTAGATGACTAAATAAATAGTTGAAAGCTTTTGAATTCAAGATAAGATTCTTGACAATAATTTGATCTGTTTTCTAGAGAAAAAGAGCATTAACTGATCATTCTTTTTAAATTTACATGAATGCCAAAACTGAAATAAAATATGAGAAAATCCAATTAAAACCATAGTAATGAATGTTCATGCTTAAAATTTATTTTCATAGCTTTCAGTTTATAGATTTAAAGAAGAAATATATGTTTATTAGTACATTAAATTTTCATGTACTTAAATTTTATATCTATAATGGAATTCGTTTAACCCTTTAATGAATACTCTATACAATTTCTTTAAATACATGTTAAAAACTATTCAAGATTTCTTTACTTTTAACAATTAAGATGCCCGAATATCATAATGCACAAATTTCATTTTTTTTCTCTCTCTTATATTAAAATTTATTTGATGGAAAATATTTGAACAATATGTGGATGAAATTATATTTACCATAATATGCAACATAAAATGTTGCATATTATGGTAAATATAATTTCATCCACATATTGTTTGATGTAATTCATAAAAATTCATTATGATGTAATGCATAAATAATTTATCAAACTAGCATAATTACAATATATTATATTTTTGTTATAATTTCACAGAAACTTTTGGTGTAAATTCAATATCTAAAATAATGTTTAAAAAACTTAAATGTGTCTAACTAAAAACTTGAAAATATTATAACTTACGTTTGCTTCCAACCATGGTGACAACAATAGAGGTTGATGTGGAGGAACTTTGAACAAGAACTGTGGCCAGAACACCTATCATCAGACCAACAATTGGATTCTGGAGTAATTTATTGTCTTGAAATGCTTGTCCTGCTTTCTTTCCACCCAGGAGACGGAATGCTGAGCTTAAAAAGTCTAACGAGCAAATGAAGAAGTAAAGCAGAGTGAGGAGAGCAACAACTTTTGCTAATCCAGTTACTACTCTGATGACTTTGCCACTAGTGGTTAAATCTAGGGAAATAAATAATAACAGAAATAAAATATGAATAAAGTAAATATTTTGTTATTAAATGGTATTTAAAAATGTATATGTATTTAAATTAATAAAATTATATGTTTTTAAATATGAGTAAGATGACTAATGTAAATAATCTACATTTGTTTATTTAGATTTGTTAAGGGCTGAATTGCTCAGTTGCTGGAGTGGATAGTTGAATCTGAATCTGCCCATCAAACATATAGAATTGTGTACTGAATGAACTACACAGGTGATATTTTTTAGCAAAATGCATAACTACTGTACTTAATTAAATTGTCTTAAATGAACTAAATGAAAAATAAACAAAATCTCAGAGTAAACATGTTTTTATACATAAAACATCTTAAAGTCTAAAATTAAATTTAATAAAAAGAATTATTTCATGAGATAAAATTTATTTAGATTATCTAAATTTTTCACAAAATGTATTTCATGAATTTTACTCAATAAATAGATAATGATATATCTGATATCCTAACAACAGTTATATTTGTTGAGATAAAACATAATTTCCTGTTTAATTCACAATACAATTCAAAGATTATTATGTTTATATAAATGTAACAACTAAATCTTGAAACTGATTATAATTTTTTTATCAAACAAAAGTTTTTTGTGAAATGTAAAAATTCTGTTTAGTTGTTCAGAATATTGAAACAATATTCATATTTTTACACAATACATGTTTATAGTGGAATTCTTCATGTTTATACATAAAACATCTTAAACTTTTCAAACATTTTAGGACTAGTTTTCAAAGATAGAGCTGATCTAAGATATTTTTCTTTTCTGGATGAAAATGATTCCAGATAATCCAATAAAACAATATTTTAATGGAAAAAATAAAGGAATTATGATTTCATAACAAATTCCACTTAAAAAATTTATCTGATAAATTGAAAAAGATAAACTGATATAAAATTGTGGAATAATTATAAATATGTAAACCATATCATGCTATTTTTTAATCAGATTAGCTTAAATAGCACAAAAAAATATGATTCAAAACAATTTTTAATATAGGATGCATACTCTAAAATTAAAATAAATCTAGAATATCTGAA